ACACCTTGTAAAAATGTGATATATACACATAATATAAATATCTATATAGACACTTTGTAATAGTGTACTGTTGTGTCTACATACTAGCATGAAATGAAGGTGTGCGCACGCGCGAATAGCCTCAGCGTAGATACACCGACCAAGTGTATCTTATGTGTCCTCTCTCCTTTCTCCTTTCTAGCAGTGGTATGTGGTAGCAGCCATTATTGTTTTATCATTCGGAAGCTCTATATAAATGTTCTGTTTGTGTGTAGTTTAAAAGAGATGTAAAGGTAAGCACAAGTTTTTAATTACCTTGTTACACCTTCCTAAGTGTATTATTAATATTATAGTAGCGACTCTTCCCGTACTCGATACCCAATTTACCAAATTTTGACTCCAGTGAATGAAAACTCCAAATATTCTCGTATAATGATAAAGAGGTTAGCTCTGCAATATAATTTTTTTTAATTTGGAAATAATAAAAATCTAAATGGACCAGAGAAAGAAAGATTTAAACACTTCAAAGAACTTCTTACACTGATATTCGGTAAGTTATTGATGGATCAATATACTGATATGTTTAATATTCAATAATCAGTTTCATATAAAATTTAAGGGTGAGATTGTTAATCTGGAAATAAAAATACAGCAAAGTCCAACAGAGTGCCTGATGAATGAGTATGCTAACAAACCAACTGCTTGAAGGGAAGAGGAGAAAAATGACTAAACGAGGTCCACCAAATCGTGGTGATATACCAGTGTTTACCATTTTAGTATGTTGTTATACTCATGTACTTACATTTTTGATACATTTTGATACAAATTCTGTCTCTTTTTTACAGTGTTTTCTTTTGAAAAAATACAAAGTTTTGCCTTCCTAATTTTCGTTGTTAAAAGATATAATTGGGATCATTGAATAAATAATTCTTAAAGAGAACGAAAAGTTAGGCATCAAAACTTGTATTATTTCCTAAATTCGTTCATAAGAAATAGTTTTATCTAGCACAAGATGTATATACGAAGCAAAATACATATGTATACACGCGGTAGTCACAACTGCAATGTGTAAACAGAGTTTAAACGTAATACATAAGCACGTATCCTACGGCACACTGTGTATCCCTTATCCCTTTGTGCATACGTGTTGAACTACAATGTGTAAACGTAGCATATTTACATCGGGGGAATTGCGTCACCCTGTGTCTACATCTAATAATGTAAACACATCGTAAATGTGATTTGATGTGCTGTATGGGAAGTATCTAAATGTTAAGGGTAGTGCCTTTGAATAAGAAGACTAAGGAAGGAGCATAATGCTATCCATGTATTCATGCATGGTGGGCGGAAAAGCCACCATAAAAGCTCTCTAGGGTGGGGATCCTTGACAGTTCTGTTTGACGATTCATTTGACATATCTGAATTTGATTTGAAATTTTGTGGATTTGTCAGTCTTTACGGAGCTTATTTTATGTTATTTATTATTTATTCTACTACTGATAGTTGTATAAAGGTAGTAAATCTAGATGGAATTTGTGGCAGCACTTAAATTAACAGAGACACTATCGCGATTTATCGAAAAAGACTCTAAAATAGTTGGTTGTGTAGCGTGCGGTAGATCTCCGCAAAAATTGAGTGAAATAATGGAACAACTTTTCGCTAGTAAGTGACTATAATATACATACGTGTAGTAAACCGATCATTTATGAAATTCACTTAAATTAACTAAATTATATATTTTTCTTGCATTTTAGCTTTTATTTATTACTTGTCAAAGATTAGATGTCAAAGAATTTAGATACGTTAATTTGACTTACCTGCTTCAGTAGCGTATCGGATGTTTGTGGTAATAAATACTTATTATAACTTATCTATTTTTATTAGAATTATATATTTTTATAACAATTTTAATAACTACCAACATTTATTCACAACGTAAAATAAAACAACAAATTATTGAGTCTACCCCACGTCTACCCTACATCATAGTTTTACATTTTTTAAATAAAATTAGAACAACACTGATAAACCGGAATTTAAGTCGGCCATATTTGAGGCCCATCGCGGTGTACCTAAGATTTTTGATATGCTCCTTCCTGAGTCTTCTTATTCAAAGCTCTGACTAGAATGATATATCATATGTCAACTTTTGACATTTTCACATATGGTTTATTTGAAATTATAACATGCGGTTCATAACGACAATTTGACTCGAAATACCAAGTGTGTGGTATCAAATTATTCGTAAAAAATGCTTTTTCAAATATGTTAATGAAATCTCAATTTAATAAAAGTAAAAAAATGCCAAGAGTACCAAAAATCAAAAGTTATAGTCATTTCCGGTGAAACATGAAGTGACCGAAAACAATTGAATAGGTACGTCAATTTATGTCATATAGTAAAATACCAAATTTCGTTTTTTTATCTGAAAAAATAAAAAAGTTCTAGAGGTGAGCCACTTTTGAAACGCACCCGGTAGGTATATTAAAACAGCTTGTATTTACTTCTATATAGGGTGTGTCTGAAATAAGTGCAAATATTTTAAGAGTAGAATATTTCGACGCCAGAAACACTTCTATGACGGTTTTTTTCGTGTTTTTTTAGTTAAAAATTTTAATATCTTGATAATATGACAACATAGGTAATATATTAAATTAAAAAAAAAGAAAATCCATGAAAGATCTAGTGGTTGTCAAAATTTAAGCAAAAAATACATTTTTTTAATTTTCAAAGTAAAATAACACGGTTATTTTGAACTTTCAAAAACGGTAAAGAGAAAATATGTTTATTTTATCGAGATCTATCAACCCTGAAAATATTTGCACTTATTTAGGACTCGTCCTGTATAACCCCATAAGAGCAGTTGTGCTTTAAGGTGTTCTACACAAATAATATACCTAGAATGCAGTATTAAGTCAGTGAAACATAAAAATAAATATGCCTTTTGATTCCATTTTATCAACACAATTATTGAATTATTACTTTCTTATTAGTACCGTATGATCGAAAAAAAAACGGCTTCAGCGATGGCTATGAAATGAAGATCCCGGTCATTTTTTATGTAAAATTATATGGGGAATTTCATCGATGTTCATTTCCAAGCCCGTTTTTTTCGATCATACGGTATTACCACCATTATTGGAATGAAAACTATTATAGATTTACAAAATTTGTTGTAAAAATAATTAGATCTATGAAAATCGACCGAAAACAATTGACTGAAGGAGAATTCCCCGAAAACAATAGACTAAAAAGAAAATTACCGGAAAAGATAGTTGTCCGAAAAGATATATCACAGACTATAACTGACTGAAATAAAAATTCCCTGAAATCACGATTTTTGCTAAGAACCAAACGAAACCAAACCAACAATATTCTAGAAAAATATTCAATTTTTCGGAAAACTTTCTGGTTCGGTGAAATATTCATAGGGGAATTATCTTTCGGACAATTTTTCCCATTAGGGCAAACTTCCTGCCAGTGATTTGCTTTCGGTAAATTTTCCTTCAGCCATTTGAGGCGTTAAGTTGCAAAACCCGTCTTATTCCACAAATGTTGTTTCGAGATAATAAGCAAAAACTGTTTTAGTAAATGTTTGAAGTGTTAATTTACAAAAAAAAACGTGATCATTGAGTGGAATCATTGTTTTGTATCTCGTTTTTCTTGAAATAAAAGTTAATGTTTAATTTTTAAACAGAAAAAAGACAAAAATAATTCGGATAAGCGGGTTGGGTAGGGTTAGGGTTCGTTTTTTGCTTAAAAAAGGCAAATTAAATTCTTTATCATTAGATTTCATTACTGAATAAAATTTGAAGAATGCACAAGCCGTCTTTGACACCATTTTTTCGATCGTATGGTACCTACATTGCGAATTTGGAAAATTCTAAATTAAGGTTTGCGTACTATGCGACTGTTGATCTCTCCAAGGAAATGTATACCCTATGATCGAGAAAAAACGGCGTCAGCGATGGCTATGAAATGAAGAACGCTGTCATTTTATACCTATTTAAATTTATATGGAAAATGTCATCGATCGTCATTTTCTAGCCAACTGAACGCCGTTTTTATTTTTTTTATCATAGGGTAGTTGCATCTTAACTTGGTTTATTAATTATACTATTTTATTAAGATTAAGTAAGGATTTGAAAAGATGTCAGTAGACATTAATAGTAGACATATTTTCAAAAAGCTTATGAAAAAATGCTGGATTTGTAAGAATAATGACTTTTACTACAGTTTGGGATTAGGTTTATTAATATATGTCCACTATTAATACAGGGTGAGTCTTAAATAAATGCAAATATTTTTTCGACCCCAGAAACGGTCGATGAGTTTTTTTTTCGCCAAAAAAATGTTAAAAATCGTGCATTTTCTTTTAAATTTCCCTGTATATTTTTCGAAAACTTTTTAGAACTGCCTGTTCACCGCAAATTTTCCCACGGTATAATTTCTTAATCTCTGATATTACCAGAGGCTTTACTCTATGGTTACGGCTCTAAAACGGATGCTATTATAGAAAAAATCCGGTGGCTTTCAATTTTTAAAAAAAATATTTTTTTTTAATTTTCAAACTCAAATAACTCGGTTGTTAATTAACCAACCCTGAAAATATTTGCACTTATTTAAGACTCACCCTGTATATGTCATTAGGCCATTTTTTTTAAATGGATAGGGCGGGTACAATTTCGGGTAATTTTACGAAAATAATTGCCTTCTCGACCAGAAAATTTTTTTTAAACATTTGATCAGTGTCTCATGATCAAGCGAATGTAATGCCTTGTTAACAGATAATTAACGAGATAAATCTTATATGAATAACAACCATATTCATATAAAGAAATATTTTAACTCATTAGAAATTAACAAAGTTATTAAAAATACTAAAAAATTCTCAGTATTTAAAGTAAATTAAATATTGTACAATATAAGTTTTTGAACGTAAGGTACTTTACAGCAGCATGTCATTTTGACAACATAAATTCACTTTTGGATGTCTTAAAGATGATTTTATTTCTTTGCAGGTTCCAGCCGTATTTTGCTGCCTGGTAGCAGTAACATACGCCGCTATAGCACCTGGTCAGAATGCCTACTTACCACCCAAAGAAGGTTACAACTATCCCCGTCCTCCTGGTCCCAGTTTCCCACCACCTAGACAACCAACGCCTCCTATCCAACGACCTTCTCCACCTAGACCTACCTACGGTCCTCCCGCTCTGGCTCCCACCCGTCCTCCACAAGCTACAGTACCTCCACCGTATAGACCTTCTCCTAGTCCTTTCAGGCCTTCGGCTCCGGTGACGCCTTTCAAGCCTACACCCGCACCTCCTCAACCTTCAAGACCGTCTTATTTACCTCCATCACCACCGAGTCAGCCTCCGTACAGACCTCCATCTCAAACGCCGCCGCCGTATAGACCTCCACCAACGTCACCGCCTTTTAGACCTACCAGACCTCCAGTTACGTCACCACCTTACAGACCTCCATGTAAGTTTATGTATTTTAATTGTCATTTTTGTGTTTTATCTAAAGCCAGAAATTTACCACACGCGCACACACAAATATTTGCAAACAAGAGTATTTGTCGGTGTATACAGTAATTATGCTGGTTTAGTGATGTTACGTTCATTCCCACAGCATCAGAAAACTGTCTAAAATAGTTAACCGAATTAGTAATCTATGTGTTTTTTGTTTACGACATATCTATGACTTGGTGTGATCAATTACATTTGACAAGTTTCTGAGACCGGTTTGGATGCTTGTGGGAACAAACCTGTTTTCTACTGTTCTGGGCGTGATTGTTCATCACGAATGTCTTTACAGTGGACACAGATTTTAAACTGTCATTGGAAAGCAGTTTAAAAACAAGCTAAGATAGATTGTGGAAAGTAAAACAATGTAATAATTTTTATATCTCTGTGACAGAGTCCTTTTTTGAAAAAAAAAATGCAATAATTGTTTTCATTTCGTAATTATCCTATATATGTACATTATATAGGAATATAAATATAAAAGCTATATATTTAGCGTTGGAGTGGGATAATGAAAAATATTTGAAGCGTTGAGTGGGATAATAAGAAAATTGATGGTATTTATACCTTCAATCAATTTTCTTGATGTTAATTATAAAACAGTCTAATAGATTACAATTTGATATTTACAGAAAACCCACTACCACCGACACTGTAATACATAGTCAATCACACCAATCCTGGCAAATCAAAATGTCACCCTTTCATAGTTTAGTTTAGAGCCCAGAGAATTTTAAAAAAGAGTTAAATATTATTAAACAAATCGCCATCAACAATGGATATAAGTGTTCCCTTATTGATAATATGCTAAAGAAAATATTAATGAAACATTTTTATTCCGCTAATTCTAAAGACAATAACAATTATCGACTTTTAAACTACATTCCTAATTTAACTAACAAAATATCAAATAATCTCAATAAAATAGGATGTAAAACTATTAACGTAAATAAAAGAAATTTAGGTCAAATTTTATTAAATAATAAAGACAAAACTAATGTCAAAAATAAGTCGGGTGTATATAGGGTGGATTGCAATGATTGTGATGCCGTGTACATAGGCCAAACAGGTAGAAATGTAGATATAAGGATTAAAGAACATGTAAAGAATTTTAATAATCTCCAGCATAGTTCTGGTCTTGCAACTCATTGTATAGTAAATAATCACAAAATTAATGAAAACTCAATTAACTTACTACACAGAGAAACAAAAGGTAGACGCTTAAATTACTTTGAACAGTTAGACATACTAAAATCTGTTAAAAACGAAAATAATGTTAACGACCAACAAGGATTTCTAAACACATTTTTTATTACCCCTATTGTAAACTCTCTGAACCCACCCCCACCCCATAGCATATATATATATATATATATATATATATATATATATATATATATATATATATATATAGTTACAGTGTAGTTAGACGATTAGTTCTTAAAAAACTCTTGAAAAAGGCCTAACAAGGCGAAACATATATGTAGAGTTAAAGTTACTCTCATTAAAAGTTTTTTGATACATCTAAAAGCGTGTTTTATTAAAATACTAATATTTCAACAATGTTTCACAAGGAACCAACCACAGCTTCAGTACAATTTATTAATAATGAAAAATGTTCAGAATAAAAAGAAAAGTACAAAATTCTCCCTTTTCTTTAATTAGAAGAGAAAATTAGATCCAAAATAATCATAGCATTGCTGCGTTAACAATAACTTTTAATTTTGGAGCGATTGTATTTATATATAGTTATCTTTTAATTAATAACAAAGCTGTTATAGCGAGTAGTCTCTAATCTGCGATCAGTTCAAGATAAGCACTATTTCAAGGATGCGACGCTGTCCCCGCAAGCCACCATTCCTCCCCATTTCCGATTACCAGAGAAGACTTAATCCTTCTCCATGCAGATGACATAGTCATGATCGCTAGGACCCTGTGTGATATTATCCAAAGAGGACTGCGTATCACTGAGATATGGTGCAGGACTCACAGGCTGAGCATAAACTCAGACAAAACCGCGGTAGTGCCATTCACTAGAAAACGAAGTCTGAAAAACTTGAAAAGAATCCATCTAGATGGAAAGGAAATACTGCCATCACGGGAAGTCAAATATCTGGAAATAACTCTGTACACTAAACTTCTCTGGAACAAGCATATTAAGTACATTACCAGCAAAGCCACAAAGGCAAGATATGCAGAAGACTGGCGGAAATATATGGTGCTGGATCCCTAACATTTTGCGCTGGATGTATACCATGATAGTAAGACCCATGATTACCTATATAGAGCGGTTGCTTGGTACACAAAACTAGAGCAACGTACAGCAAGGCAAAACCTGTGCAAATTACGGTGACTAGTATGTATCTGCACCACAGGTGCCATGAGACAATCCCCAACAGCAACAATGGAGGTCATTCTAGTCCTAACACCACTGCACATTGTAGTCGGTAGATATGCTAATGCGACAATTATGGTCATTGAAAATGGTCATTGAAATGGTCATTGACGGAAACTACTGGGAGAATTTTCAGGTAAGGGGCTCGGAACACCCTCAAAAAGGAAATTCCACTTCTTCAACTCCCAGTGGATGACATACCAAGAATGTACAACTCTAAGAAACTCATCGCTGTGGTATTGAGTAATAAAAAGAATTGGAAGAGAGAAACGTTTGCTTGTAACGTTGTTATCAAATAAAAGATTATACCTTAATGTGGTATACTGATGCTTCCAAAACCAAAACAGGGACAGGAATAGGAGCGTTTGGGTCGAAAACTAAATAATCCGGACCAATAGGCACCTACCCCAGCATCCTTCAGGTAGAAATCTACGCTATCGAAAGATGCGTAGAATTTATCTTAAAGAGGAGCTATTAAAATCAGGAAATAACCGTCTTATCCGATAGTCAAGCAGCACTAATAGCGATCAGCTCAGTAATCATCACTTCGAAGTTGGCCAAAGCATACCTAGAGAAGCTGAACAAATTAGGCAGAGAAAATAAAATCCTCTTACTCTGGGTACCCGTTCACCAAAGGATAGAAGGTTATGAAAAATAAAACGATCTAAAACGAACCAGAACCGTTTTTACCTCCCTATACCATAATGTATCAAGGAGGAATCTTGTTCCTTGCTCCTTCTCTATATTATTCATCTTTAACTTATTTGTCCAGCGTGGAATAGTATGACTATTAAATCTTCTAATTTGGAAGAGGTCTATCCATCACATGTCGAGAGAGACGATTATAGAGACGAACTCCAAATAGTGTGGGAGTCAAATTATTACCCACTAAAAAAGCCCACCTCCGAGGAGTCAGCTCCTCCTCTTCTCTTCGCTTCTCCGGAACCCCCGTATGGCATTACTTCAGGTTCGTACGTATTCTTGGGATTTACATCGTATCTATGTTATCTTTTTTATCTATATACTATCCCATTTATTTTTAGGATACTTCCAAATTTCTTGCCTTTTCTTGTTTTCCTTTCTCTAATATTATTTATTTCATAAATGCCCCTACCTTTCTCCAGATTTCGCTGGTTTTGGACATTTTCATGATCAAGTTATCAGAAGCGAATACTCCTATATCCGTCAATAAGGCAGACCTTTCGCTTTTCTATCCTGGACAGCAGAACAACGTATGCTCGGCATCATAGATTTTGTCGTCGTAGTTGCCGCCTTTGGTATTTTCTTTATTCTGTGCAAGAAGTCTATGAAGACTCCATGACCGGAAAGAAACTATGTAATGTAATAGTTCACGTCTCCCGTGTTTCCTACACGTCAAGTCTTCCACGTTGTGGATTAACTTTCTAGTCTACTTTCCCTTTTCGGATGCATCCCACTCCTATTGCCATGTTTGATGCCGTTTATTTACCTCATCGGTAATCTCTGTTTTAACAAATAAATCTCGCATTTCTTCAGCTACTTAATGCAGCGGGATCAGCCATACATGATTAACGAGATTATAGTTTTTTTACAGATGTCGAAATAACGGTCAAAATTTAACTAGTTAACATTGGTGGCGAATGACAACTTGGTGAAAAAAGTGTATGCGAACGATTACAAATATATGGAAATGTTTGTTCATGTTTGATGAAAATGCTCGTTTGGTGGATTACTAGCTTAAGAATTGGGTCTGGTAATTCCAGACCATTCCACAGTAGCTGCAAGAGCCAAAAATAACGCATATATACTAATTAAAACTCTTCACTCACTACCCCAAACACCAACAGATCTCATTGATGAAAGAAAAATATCGGTAGTGGCATTGCAATCTACACAAAAAAATCTAAAAATATAATAAAGCTACTGTACTACTCAATCAAGTGCCATTGACTTAGACGAAACAAGTTGAAGGTTATCATTTCAGTAGTAGTGTTAATCTTAAAGATGATATACAAAATATCATTCTGCCAGAACGAACCATAATAAATCGTGATTTAATTGATAATATTTACTTAGAAAATTGCTGAATAATGATAGTACACGCAAATACACGAATTCTATCTTCTTGAACGGATTATGAAAGGTTAAGGTCGTAATGTTTAAAAACGTGATGATCTACTGTAATTATTGTTATTACAGATAGCCGCCCATTTGTTTCAGGTGATAATTTTAAAGAGAACTGTAAAAAAGTCGTGTAAAAAGCGTGAACTCTTTGCATGATCTTTTGTTACAAAGGGTGAATGAAAATTAATGTGCAAATTCCTGCCATTAAAAGGTTAATAAAGTATGTCCAATGGAGATTACAATTTGTAGAGTGTATTTGTATTGATAGAGAGATAAATCTACAAGGTATTGTTTATATTACAGGTGAATAGAAAGTGTTTATACAGGGTATCCTAGAAATAAGTGCAAGTATTTTAACTGTTAATGCAATTCGAATCCCAGAAACAAGCCAGTAACTTTTTTTGCGAAAAAAAAATGTTGAAAATTTTATATTTTTCTTGACATTGGTTCGAGGGAATGCAATGTTGCCACTTCCTACGCTATCTACATTCTGTAAGTTATAAGCTGACATTTTTAAATTTCGACAAAAAAAAACTTAAAAATCATGGCAGATTTTTTAATCATTGTCTATTAGGTATAGTGCAACGACGTCTATTATTTTAAACACTTTTTTTACAGTTTAACAAACTGAATTAATGAAACTCTAAATAATGGACAACTTTAGCAGCTTTTTTGCCATATTACGAAATATTTTCAATCGTTTCCCTCAACAATTACTATACGAATATATAAAATCCTTAAGTGACTGACTCACTGATTAATCACGATCCTGCTCAAACCACTCAACGTAAGAAGCTCAATTTTGGCATACAGGTTGATTCTAGGGTGTAGAGGTTCGATAAGACGGGATTTTCGATTCGAAATTCCAGTTCCAAGGGGGTGAAACCACCCCTCAAATATTACAATATTTTTTATTTAAAAAACGGTCAAGTTTCCGAAAAAACGCTTGAACGCGTATATTTAATTTTGTTTTTTACATATTTTAAGATTTTTTAAAAATGTATACAGGGTGTTTCGAAAAATCTGGTCATTGATTAATCACTATCCTGCTTAAAGCGCATGACGTAAAAAAGCGGATTTTTGGAAAACGGATTGACTTTAGAGTGTAGAGGTTCGATAAGAAGGGATTTTTCGAAACTCGATTTAAGGGGGTGAAACCACCCCTCAAATATTAGAATAATTTTTATTTAGAAACCGGTGAGTTTTTCGAAAAAAACTTTTAAACACGTATATTTTATTTGTTTTTTTACATATTTTAAGATTTTTAAAAAATTTATACAGGGCGTTTCATAAAATATGACCATTGTGTAATCACGATTCTGCTTAAACTGCTTGACGTTTAAAGCGGATTTTTGGCAAACGGATTGACTGTGAGTGTACAGGTTCGATAAGGAGGGGTTTCTCGAATCTCAAATTCCATGAAGGTGAAAAACGCCCTCAAATATTACAATATTTGTTATTTAAAAAACGGTTAGTCTTTCGGGAAAACGCTGGGAGACGCATAATTTATTTTGTTTTTTTACATATTTTGAAATTTGTTAAAAAATCATACAGGGTGTTCCAAAAAGTTGGGTAATTGATTAACCACGATTCTGCTTAAACTGCTTGACGTAAAAAGCGTATTTTTGGCAAACGGATTTTTCGGAAGTCAAATTCCAAGGAGATGAAACTACCCATCAAATATTACCAAGTTATATAATAATATCGCCATATTGTTTTTTCTCATGCTGACATAAATGTGAGAAATTTTTATCCAGTTTGTATGTTAATGGAAATTCTTGCTTTGCTTTATCATCACCATTACAAATGATTAATTCGACTCGATCGAAGTCGCGGGTACACGCTAGAAACGTATAAATTTGTTAATACTGTATAACTGAATTTATATTTGAGTGGTGTGTATGTATTTGTTACTAGAGTAAACAAAAATATGTTTGAACTAATAAAACTGTAATGTCTCAAATTAATGTTTAAAATAAATTATTTTTTTTTACTAAGGGAAATTAAAACAACCTTCGTTGCAAGTCATCAATGACACCATGCGTCGTCTTATGGAGTTTGCTGGTGGTCGTATTATGATGTGCAACCAAAGTTATTTTAATTTCCCTTGTAGTATAATTATTATTTAATAGTTATTAATACAAATGAAGTATGATATCTTGGTAGATCCATTTGTTTTTTTTTCATAGCCGCCCGATTTGTTTCAGGTGATAATTTTAAAGAGAACTATAAAAAAGTCGTGTAAAAAGCGTGATCTTTTGTTACAAAGGGTGAATGAAAACCAATGTGGAAATTCCTGCCATTAAAAGGTTAATAAAATATGTCCTATGGAGATTACGATCTGTAGAGTGTTTGTACTGATAGATAAATCCACAGGGTATTGTTTATATTACAGCTGATTAGAAAGTTTTTATATAACTGAATTTATAGGAAGGTATTTGATTGTTGCATATACATTTGTTACTAGATTTTTAATATAACAAATTTGATTGAAAAAAAATGTGAGAAGTAACAAAGCTATAAATATTCAATTTAATATTTTAAATAATTTTTTTTTCTAGTTTTAATTTATTCTACAGTAGTATAATTATTGTTTAAAAGATATTAATACTCAGTTATTAGTACAAAATTATTTAATAGTTATTAGTATTTTAAATGTTACAAAAATAAAATATGAAAACTTGGTAGACCTAATATGTGAATTCAGTTTAAAACTTCTTTTTATTTATATACAGGGTGTCTTCATTTATAACTTTTTTATTTTTTCAGTTAAAAATGAGCTTCAGTATGTTAGTATATGACAGAATTAGATTGGATTGATTTCTATGTATTTTATTGTTTTCGGTCATTTTCTGTGTTAACGGATATAATTACAAATTTTTTAATCTTTAAATGACACTTTTCGGTATTTTTTTACTTTATTCGATAGAAAATGATATTGAATAGAATGACATTTCATATCTCAACTTTTGACATTTTCGTATATATGGTTTATTTGAAATTGTAACATGAGGTTCATAACGACAATAAGCCTCGAAATACAAAATGTGTAGTGTGTAGTATCAAATTATTCATAAAAAAATGCTTTTTCCAAATGTGCTAATGAGCCACCCTCATTCCATTTGAAAAAAATGAGATATAAATAAAAATACGATTTACGCATCTTTTAACCGGCAAAGACATTAAAAACATTATTTTAGACGATCAACTCTATTTTTCCAACGCTCCTTGCTTAAAAATTGTAGAAACTCTAGATTGAAATTTAAAATCCGATTTTTTATTAAGCAAGAATGTTAAAAGTTGACATATGATATGTCATTCTATTCAGAATGTTATTTTCTATCGAGTAAAATAAGTAATACCGAGAGTACCATTTAAAAATCAAAGTGACAGAAAATAATTGAATACATCAATCAATCCTAATTTATCTCACCTACTAACATACCAAATCTCGTTTTTTTATCTGAAAAAATAAAAAAGGTATAGGGGGTGAGCTACTTTTGAGACGCACCCGGTATACAGGTTGGTTGGTTGGTTAGTTTAGTCTTTAATAAGTACAAATATTTTTAGGGCTAGTATAGTTCGACCCCAGGAACACGTCTATGATGTTTTTTTTGCAAAAAATTGAAAATTTGGAATGGAAAAATTTCGATATGACAATATTAGGTAGTAGATTAAATTGACAGGAGAGAAAATCCAGAAAAGGTCCAGTGGTTCTCAAAATTTAAGCAAAAAGAAATAATTTTCCTTCAATTTTTCGAAGTAAAATAACTCAAAAGTGATTTTGGACTTCTATTTGGAAACCGATAAAGAAAAAATATCGGTCTCATATTGTAGAAATCAAACAAAGCAATAAACTAATCT